TTTTTTAAAAAATAAAATCTACCTTCAAAGATAAAGATTTACCAAAGATAAAGAGTGTAGGCATTCAAATGAATGTCACACCAGCTCCTTTCAACACTGCAGACCGAAGTCAACCTGCAACATTAGCCTGCTGGCACTGTGGCACTCTGGGGACTGGCCAAAGGAAACAGGGTATGTTAGCGGCTTGCTCGTCCAATTCCTTTCAGCCCCAGGCATAGCTGAGCTTACCTACCATTCCAGTCTCCATTTTGTCATTGTTTTGCCCAACACGGGAAACTCAGTTGACTGGGGGTGGGGTATGATTGGGGCGTGAAAGCTCAAATGTCCACCGTGGACAGAGAAAAAGTTTTGGAATGGAGACGCCTAGAGAAAGCATTCAAGGAAGCAGACCTCATTGCTTACAGACACTCAGAACCATGGTTTCCAGAATCTCTAATTTTCTAAGAACCCTGAAACCTGGATTTTTAGAAAGTAGTCTCCTGATTAACAAATGAGGACCAAAGAAGTGAAAAAGTTAAAATATAAACACACAAATGTATGATACACATCTCTCTCTCTCTCTCACGTACATACCTTCTGTGGGTCATAAAAAGGTTATAAGTCCTGAGTTTGTCCTTTGGCCACATAAGCCAAAGCATCATGTGACATTAAAAGGGACCACACCCTGGAGGCCTACTAAAGATTTCAGTTTGGCTACAAAAGATTACCCAGAGGAATTAGAAAGCAAACTCAATTGCCCCACAGAAAAATTCTACAATGTGAAAATTACAAACCATTCCAGTGTGAGAAGTCTCCTTTTCCTTCCTGTATTGTTGAAAGTCTCTTTTTCAACAACCAAGCAATTTTGCTTTTTGCACTTACTATAAAATCAATAATATAAGAAATTTCTTTGACTCTGCAGACAAAATAATAAAAATCTTCTTGGCCTCCTCAATGAAATAGATTTAATTCTGATGATTTTTGTTTAAAAACTCTTCCAGTAGTCTTGGGAAATTTATTTGGAACAATTTTCTTTTCTTTTCTTTTTTTTTTTTTTTTTTTTTACTACTTACTGATTAATCCAGATCACATACAATTGCAATAACCAAGTAACAATAACAAAACATATATATTAAAGAAACAAACACATGTTGCTGCACAAAGCAATATAAAATATCCCCCACTGCCATTTGTCAAAGCGGATGTGAGCTTAAACTTGTCTGCCCGAAACAACACAAATACACTCACCCATATGAACAAAAAAAGTGGGCTCGCATCAATGGGAAATGGGTGGTATGGCCCAAAATGGGCTGAAAGGCCAACTCAACCCCAAATTAACTACCTCATATAAACTACCACAAAGCCTGAAACTTCTACCATTAAAATTTTCCCTTCAGGTGTATACATTTTCTTTGAAAGATCCCTATTTGAAACATGACAGTTAATACTTTTACTCACTAGCATCCATCATCACAAATCTCATGATTATGAAAAGAGTGGTGATGATCACAGTTCACACTCATAACATGCTTCATCGTTACAAAGCACTTCCAATTACACGATTCCTCTGTCTTCGCTGCCTCTCCTCTCAACCAGTAGCATCAGTGGGGTTGGTGTCACCAGCCGCAGTAAATCATGCTATCACTCCCCAACTCCCATGAACCTCCTCCCATACCAGACCATACAGAATTCTTAGTAATGTTTATAATCAATTTTAATCATAGAATAATATGTGATAAATACAGTTGTAAATTCCTTAAATGTAATATTTCTTAGAGTATATGAGTACCAACAACAAAATTGTCTTGTAAAATCTTTCTACATTGAATGACAACGTGAATAGCTTCAGCATTAGTAGTAACTGAGTGGAAGCCTTTTTTAAAATTTTCCTCCTTCTTTTCCTTTAATTATTACACTTCATTCCCAAAAAAGTTACTGATACAGGTTTGCAAATACTAACTACCACAAGATTGTAGCTTAAACACCAGAAAATCTGACAAAATTAGCTGCTATGAAAACACAGGCAACAATGAAAACAACAGGATTTGTTTAGCATGTGCAGACAAACCTACGTAATCTGCAGCATCATTTAAATGGGTAATAATGACAGCTCTGACCAAAGCACATTAAACCAAAAAACCAAATACACTGCCATCGAGTCAGATCCGACTCATAGCGACCTGTCTTTGGATTTCTGAGGAGGTTTCACTACAGAAGTAGATTGCCCAAACTTCCTTCCAAAGAATGGCTGCTGGATTTGAACCAACAGGCTTCTGGTTAGCAGTCCACCAAAGCACATTAGAAGCTTCAAAAAAGTGAATTAGCCTAAGAGTTTTAGCCTCATAGGTATATTGATGCATGTAAGCTGAGCTTACAAAAAATTTTTGTTATTATAACCAATTACAGGGATATTTTTATTAAAAAAATAATAAATTTCTGCTGAAAAACTGTACAGAATTTTTATAGACAGGTATTGCAATGTCACCCAGTGTGGTCCACTAGACCACTAGACCACTGCCTCTGTCCCATGTCATGTGCTATCGGTTCCCTACGTCCCTCCTCCAGTATGCTGTATCATCACATATCTTATCTGACATCGGGCTTGGTATAGCAGAGAGATTCAGAAAAGTGTATTGTTTTTAATGAGGGCATTGAGGCACAGAGGGGTCAGATGACTTGCTAAGTATCCAAATCCTAATTTAATACATCATCCACAGGACAGGCTGCCTCCTGAGCATGTAGCACATAATTGAACCCCAAGAGAATGGGACAGGAAGGGCAAAAACTAACGAGAGGGAGGCAGGAGTAGGCAGGAGAAGAGGAAAGGTGCAGGCAGAGCTTAGAGAGGTGAGACGAGGCATGTGGCATGCCTGGAAGAGTAAGAAGCAGGAACAATAAGGCTGAAGTCATTGAGAAGAGGAATAAAGTACTAAAAGCATGTTTGGGATAATATGATGGAGTGAGTGTGGTACACATGGCAAGGATATTAATTTTTGGGAGGTAAAGGATGGAACATTATGGATTGAATTGTGTCTCCCCCAAAATATGTGTCAACTTGGCTAAGCCATGATTCTAAGTATTAGGTAATTACCCTCCATTAAGTGATATGATGTAATTATCCTATGTATTCTAAATTCTAACTTCCATGATGTTAATAAGGTAGGATTAGAGGCATTTATATATGTTAATGAAGAAGGATACAATCTACAGGATTCAGTTGTATATCTTGAGTCGATCTCTTCTGAGATACAAAAGAGATTAAACAAACAAGCAGAGAGAGATCAGAGAGTTGACTGCCACCAAGAAAGAAGAGCCAGGAGCAGAGACTCCCTGTGCTGAAAACCTCCTAGGCCCGGGGGGAGATTGATGCCAGGGCACATGGAGATCTACAAGGAATGCTGGGCCCACAGATGTTGAAAGAAGACAAGGACTTTCCTCTAGAACACAGTGAAATAGCCTTAACCTACAGCCAGCACTTTGAATTGAGATCTCTAGCCTCCTAAGTGTGAGAGAATAAATTTCTGTTTGTTAAAGCCATCCACTTGTATTTCTGTTAGAGCAGCACTAGAGAACTGAGACAGAATTTTCTGAGTAAGGAACTTGCAATAGAGTCAGCATGGGCCCTAGAGAAAAACTTCCTAGAGTTCTGTGTGGAACCTAATCTCCCAACCATCACAAGGCCTACCACCTTCCCTCCATGTACTGAAGCACTGAAATACTCTCCAGGCTACTCTGACTCTCTCTTGCCATTTGCCCATTTGGGTCATCTTCCTTGGGCCTAAAGCCAGTTTCATTTATACTGTTTTATACATGAGTGAAATTAGACACTGAGCAATTCATCTTCTTCTTAAGTCATGCCTGCAAACTCCCAACCCACTTCCTTTCTCACCAAGCCTTCCCCCTGCTCACAGACAATAAAGCATTGAATGGAGTTGTTGACATTGACCTTTTGATTTCTTAGAAGAGAAAGTCTTCTAACATAGTCCTAGATGGTACACAACTGAAGCAGAAAACAAGCTTAGGTTTCTTCTGGAAACTTCCCTTATGTGTAAAATAAGGATCAGAAAATAAGAAATACAGAAAGAAGAGTTAGCACAGCAACAAGGTTGGAAGTTTTCATAAAGTCAAAGAAACTCGTGGCTGAAAGGTAATTGCAGGTATCAGTAAGCCTACTTTCTTATCAGGCTCCTATGGTTGGTGCAACAGCTTTAATCACTCAGCTGCCAACTGAAAAGTTAGAGGTTTGAGTCCGTGGAGAGGTATTTCAAAGGCTTGGAGATTTACTTCTGAAAAATCAGCCACTAAAAGCCCTACGGGGAACAGTTTTACTCTGGCATGCATGGGGTCACCATGAGTCAGAATCCACAAAGCAGCAACTGGAACTGAACTCTCTTTTCCAACCAAAGCTTTTACCATTGCACTTCTTAACCATACTGGCATCCCAGAGAACCAGGACAAGCTTAAGTAGCAGGAATGAAAGAAGTGGCTCAAAGATGCTGTAACTACCTTCAGGCCGTGAAGCTCAGAGACCTGTAGTGCTTAGCCCTTCCTTCAACCAAGCTTAGACCTGGAAGGGGTCATATCACAGGAAGGAGGCCTGTGACATTAGCCATGAAGAAGACATTAGCGCTGAGTCTTTTCTTGCCTCTGAATGCAGCATGGAGACCTATGTGGGGTGTTTTAAGGAATCTGTGGTGCAGGTAGAAAAGGTTTCCTGGCCAACTCCTGGTACTAATGGACTTGGGTCCCTGGAGGAAATGTGGCTTGGCTATTCTGTGGGAGGCCACTGAGAAGCCAGCACACACTACCCTTGTTCCCTTATCCGCAGAAAAGCAATTTAACTGTGAGTAACTGAATGTGTGTAACTTCTAGAGAAAGATACTAGCTTCACTTCCTTTTTTCCTGGCTCAAGCTAACAGATCCTTCCCTACCTATGGAAGCTTTGCAAAAGAATCACCTGCAGGGAATGGACACATTATTTTAAATGTATGAACAATGAATCAATGCTACTTCTCACTTACCTTTGCCTCTTCATTCACATCCCAGGTGAAGGAAACAGCATTATATGCAATCTCTTCAATGTTCCCAATCGTATTAAAGCTTTCCTTGTAATCAGCTGTAAGATTAACAAAGAAAAAGAGAGTTTGAAAAGAGTTAATAGTTACTTGGTGACAGGTAGTAAACCATCATTTTACAATGAATACATTTAAACTTCTCCAATTCTTCTGGCTGTTTCTATGGCCACAGTTAAGGATTTGCACTTGCATATATTTTTTACTAATATTTACACTATAAGAATGTAAGCACCTTCTTCTATTACGAGAGTAAATCTAAGTAAAGCAATGTTCTTGACTGATTTGTTAGTTTTCACTTTCATGATAAAACTATTTTTCTTGTCTTCTGAGTTTCCCTATCACTTACTACTTCCTCTGCTACTCATTTCCCTGATACTTTAATTTTGCTAGAAGTGCCCAAGTACCCATCCTAGAAAGTGCTATACCTACAACTGAAACCCTAATGTCAATTATCAATGTGGCAAAATTTTCTTCTTCTTAAAAGATTTCTCATCTTGGCTGGATACAACATCTCCAAAACCACATGCAGGAGGCTCAGGTAGTTACCTACATGGTGAGATTGGAGCACCATCTGCTACAAGACACCAGCTTCTTCACATGCTAGAGAATCCCATCCCAAAACACTCATCCCTTTGGGTAAGGGAATTGCCATCTCCTGACATTAACATGCAAATGCTCTTGGGATGATAAATGGCACAAATTGAAAACTTGCTGAGTACCAAGCCTGAGCCAAGCCCTTTACCAACATTACCTCATCTAATCCTCACAGCCACTCTGGGAGATTGGTATCCACATCCTCCTTCTACAGGGAAGTTAAGTCACCTATAGAGAATCACATAGCTGGTAACAGGACAATGTGAATTTGAATTCTGGTCTGTTTGATGCCAAAGAACACACTTCTTCTAACCACTGCCTATATTTATCTTGCAAATGAGTTAAGCAATGAATTGTCACTGGATATTAACACCTTGTACAGAAATTACAAGGAGCTCTGGTAGTGCAACAGTTAAGCACTTGGCTGCTAACACAAACGTTGGCCATTGGCGTCTACCCAGTGGCTCTGTGGGAGAAAGACCTGGTGATCTGTGGCCATAAAGATTACAGCCTATGAAGTAGTTCTACTGGGATGACTTGATAGCACACAACAACAAGAGAGAAATCGCATAGCACATCCTATGCTAACAACTAGCTGATAGAGAAGCAATGAGGGAATGGAAGATTGATAAGGCAAGGAGACTAGGCACTGTTGAATCAACTGTAAATTCTTTGGCCAAGGAGAGAGGGGTTGGGGTGCTACAGTGGGAAGGAGGCAAACAGGGAAACAACTCCACAGCCTACAGGCATATCCTGCAAGATTGAGAGAAGTGTTCCAAAGTTAGTCCTCCCGAGAAAATAAAGGGTATAGGGATAAAGATGATGACCCACTGCTTTTTAACTAAGGGCTGATGAGCATGCACACGTATTCAATGCTTTACATATATGTTTCTAGCAAGTTAAGTTTTACAAAACAATTACGGGATTTGTTTCTATTTTAAATACTATAGGAAGTTTGATGGTGAATCTTTTTGTCATACACATCGTTACATATATACGACTATTCATCATTTAATAAATGTTTAAATTCAGATTTTTGTATTTCGTTTTCTTCCAACTGGTAGTACGTGGAAGTATAATTCTGGAACACATTCAAAGGGAACACTCATTCCTTCACCTTCATTAAGTCTCACATGCTTGGTAAATTATAACTATCTCTTTTAATTATTTTTTGTGTATATTGCTGGAGATTAAAAGGAGTGGTGTAATTAATATAAAAATTGCTTCTCTTCTGAAAGGTGTGGATTCTGTCTGGGCTAGTGAAATAATGAACTTGGAATGCTGGAAATGGCTCAGGGCACCATTACCAAATCAGTGTGTATACACCACAGTCCTATAGAGATATACATATATATATATATATGTATATAACACCAAGAAATCAGCATGATTTATATATTTGGGACCATAATGTTACAATCAATCTACTTTCAGGGAGGCAACCAAGGCACAGGGAGAAAGAACACTGGCAGTGGAAACATACAGGCCTGAATTTTAACTTCCAGTCCTTCTCTCACCAAGCCCTGTGATCTCCAGTGAGCTACTGAACCCCTCTAAGCTTTTATTTCCTTGTTCACAAAAGAGAAACAACATCAAAGTGAACCAAATCAGTTGTTGTCCAGCTGACTCTGCCTCATGGTGACCCCATGTGCATCAGAGTAGAACTGTGCTCCACAGGGCTTGCAGTGGCTGAACTTTTGGAAGTAGATCACCAAGTCTTTCCTCTAAAGACCCACTGTGTGGACTAGAACCTCCAAGCTTTCAGTTCGCAGCTGAATGAATTGTTTCCCCAGTCAGGGACTCCATCAAAGAGAGCGTAACCTTGCTAATCTCATAGTGGATGGTAAAACCAATATTTTCCCCCATCCTATCTGTCCCCAAATATCACTTTCCCATATCTGCAAAGGTCAAATAGGATTCAGTGCAGATTCAGGAAACAATCAGGGTCATTCTAGGATCATGAGCTCTGATACTTTCTGATATTAGCTCTAGCTATTATCAGACAGAAAAAAAAAAAAAAAACTCTAAGTAGGTTCTGAAACTTTTCTCTGGTTTTCAGAAACAAAGAAGCACCTTCTTAAAACCTGAATGACTCACAAGAACTGTCTAATGAATTCAGTAAGCCAGGAGTAACCTGGGTTTCCTTATGTGTGTTGACACTTCAGTGAATTTTTGGAGGAAATGAAGGTATTCCCATCATTTGGTCCAAGCTCATGAGCAAATAATAGTAACAGCAACCATTTTTGAGAATTGACTACTTCTGAGAGCTAGGCCCAGTACTAAATATACTCACTTCATAAACATTGTCTCATGTAATTCTCCTAATAACCGTGAGCAGTAACAATTTTTATTATTCCCATTTTGTAGAATAGGAAACAGATAACCATATTAAATACCACTTGTCATGCTCCCATTAACTTTGCTTAATTTACAAGGGGCCAAGCTAACATTGGAACCAAGAAGTTCTGCCTGTATATAAATGCAGAGAGTTCTGAGTGCTGTGGTATCAAATCTGTCAAATGAACACCTTCCCTTACGTAGCCCGGAACAATAATGACTGAAAATATGAATACAAATTTCTGACTCAGTGTATTGACTGATAGACAGTGACGCTTTGATACTCATAAAGCTGTTCTTGTTAGTATTACTACTACTTACTCTCATGCCATATCATCATGCCCTTATATTTAAGATGGAATCTTCCTTGAGATTTTCTCTTTAGGCTAAACCTCATATTTATTTCTGTTTGATTCATCCTCCTATTTCTAAAGAAGAAATTATATAGCCCAATGTCATGGCTTTCCAACTGTATGATCATAATCGTAAAGGGAGAGACACATTTCACATTATAACCCATTACTCTGTTCCACTGTAGGGTAATATTTCATATTCTATTTGATTTTTTTTTTTAATGCTGGTTCTGACAATAGGTCATATCTTGTGTGTTGACACATAAACTAATGTGTATATGCCTAAACATGTACTAAGGCATATAACTCCAAAAATTAATCTCTTTGCATTAGTCCATGTTACTCAGTGAGATTTAATTGAACTATTTAACCTCTGGTCCACACATTTAAACTGTGATCCATCCAAAAATACCTGGCACTTTCTAACAGTTTGCTGAATAAATGACAATATGGATGATGAAGTATTGATGTCAATACTTTATATTTGCACAGAGCACTAATTATTCATGTTTTATTTTAGCTTTCTATTCTTCACTGCATTGCTTAACATCATAAAACTCTTGAAGGGAGGTTGCAAGGGCAAGAAGTTATAGGTACATAAGATTAGAAGTTACTGCCTAAACTACCAATGTCAACCACTCAGAGAGGGATCTATGTCAGAGACCCTAGATAGAGAGGGAGAACAATGTGGAACAAAACTCAAAAGGATTTGGAAAAAAAAAAAGGGGGGGAACCAGATCTGCTGGTCCAATAGAGCCTGGTGGAACCACTGAGACTATGGCCCCTAGTTGCCCTTTAGGTCTGGAATTGAACCCACACCTGTGGCTTCCAGCCAAGCAAAAGACAGAGATAGGAGTTGAACATTTACCTGAGGTAAATACACCCCTTGGAGAGAACAATCATGGGAGAAAGGGGCTGTTTATGCACAGGGAGACAGCTCGGGGGACAGGGATGCATGGAGGGATGGACACAGGGAAGAGGTGACTGTCGAGAGGAAGTGGGAGGGGAGCTGTTGCATTGTGATGAACTGTGAACTGCTGTATGGAAAGTGAATTTGCTCTGTAAATTTTCACCCAAATCACAATAATAGACAAACAAACAAACAAACAAATAAATAAAAGCTTACTTGGAGATCACAATCTAGTTTACAATCAACTAAAAAAAAAAAGAAGAAGAAGAAGAAGAAGTTACTGCCTAAAGTAGTTAATCCGCCATAATCATCTCACACCTACTGACAGGGCTCTCTCTAGCACAATGGTCCCCAATGATTTCCAACCTAGATGATGATTCCAGAAACAACAATATTTCCCAGCTCCATAATAGTACCCAACCTGCAGTGTTCCTCTCAGGAAAGCATATAGAAGTATGAGGAAGAATGGCATTATTATAGGACAAAACATGAACTAACTCTAATTTACTAAAGAAAATGGACTCTTTCTCAAATGATGGTACTTTAGCTATTGGTACTCAAGAAGTGCTGTTCAATAATAAGACATTTCACAATCTCTCTCAAAAACAGGTTCTCATGTCTAATAAGGCTTAGTGTCAAAAATAATTTTCAAAAACATGTCATTGCACTTTTGGTTTGCAGACTGAATAGATTCAAACAACAGAAATTACTTTTGGGTACTTGGTGGTACGTAGACATATCACAATAACTATAACTCCTCACATGGATTGAACCACAAGCCCAGTTCCTTCAGCAACAAAACTTGCATTGAAGTTAACTCCATTTTCAATCTGCCCAGTTCCCTAAC